AACGTTTTACACGGTAAAAATGAGCCCTTTAGAATTCTGTCAATTACCTGTGTTTTGATATATAACACCGTATGTATCATCGTCAGCTCAGTTCACTATTAATGTATCTACACATTTCCTTATTTTGAGATATGAGAAGTTAAACATTTAAGCTCATAGATGTACCCTCTATTTTGAACCAATTATATTGAAAATTTACATACGTTGTAAAAATGATCCTCTGATAATGTACACTTTTTCTGAGTAATTTTCAAGGTTGCCATGTTGCTTTTTTAAAAGTTTAAAAATGCAGATACACCAAATTCGCTCACAAAAATCCTCGATTTTGTCAGTTCTACGTTAGGGTATTTGCATTCTATATGATTTAACTCATTGGAGTTAGGTTTTCATGATGGAAAATTTATATGTATTACCTATGTTGTGTTTGTTTGCATGACAAGATTTATAATGGAGAACATTGACAGAAAACTCATGTAAATTATTATTAACAGAGTAAATAATGTTCAATAGCGACATCTTTAAGATCCGATTTTTTCTAATGTGACTGTGCGCACATGCGTACAGTACATTGAAGCATAATGTTACTTTTTGAAATCTTTTGAAATCAGCATATCCTCTGTGGCATTTCAAACAATTAAAAGTATTAAAGTAAATGTTTGTTTACAGTCACAACTATAGCACCAATGTCGTCATTTGCTTTCAGCATATCCTTTGTGGCATTTCAAACAACTAAAAGTATTAAAATAAATGTTTGTTTACAATCACAACTATAGCACCACTGTCTTCATATGCTTTCATCATATCCTTTGTGGCATTTCAAACAACTAAAAGTATTAAAATAAATGTTTGTTTACATTCACAACTATAGCACCACTGTCTTCAATTGCTTTCAGCATATCCTTTGTGGCATTTCAAACAACTAAAAGTATTAAAATAAATGTTTGTTTACAATCACAACTATAGCACCACTGTCTTCATATGCTTTCAGCATATCCTTTGTGGCATTTCAAACAACTAAAAGTATTAAAATAAATGTTTGTTTACATTCACAACTATAGCACCACTGTCTTCATTTGCTTTCAGCATATCCTTTGTGGCATTTCAAACAACTAAAAGTATTAAAATAAATGTTTGTTTACAATCACAACTATAGCACCACTGTCTTCATTTGCTTTCAGCATATCCTTTGTGGCATTTCAAACAACTAAAAGTATTAAAATAAATGTTTGTTTCACTCCAAGTCACTCTTCTCAATGATCAATAATGCAATATATTTTTTCTGGTATTGACTTTAGATTCAGTGTTTCAATCCCTTTCTGGGGGACCTCCCTTAACTACTGTATGTTAACAACTTAACTATAGTCATAATATAGACCTCAGAGCAGGTGTTATATTGACGAATAAAGACCTTAGGGCTAGGCACAAAAGCCTTCGAGCCCCTCACTCCCTTTGGTCGTTCGGAAGAAAAAGTTTGTGCTTAGCCCTGCGGTCTTTATTAGTCGATATAACACCTGCTCCTCTATATTTCTTATGTGTGTGTCTTAATTCTTACATTTTTTTTATTCACCAAAATAAACGTATACAACTAACATAAAATTATATTTGTCACTTCATCACCCATTCCCTCCCACGCCGCACGTCACTCACTTATACCACCATACCGTCTGTTTTCATGTTTTCACAAAAATTAAAATATGCCTTGAAGTTGTTATAATTTGGAAGTTCTTGTTGCAGCTTCTTATTATAGATATAGTATTTCGCTATAATTCTTACATTTATATCTGATTTCTTTTGCTTCAGTATATTTGTAGCATGATATTGAAATATCTCTGCTATACTGGAGAACATTTAAAATTTTTCAGTCTACGAAGGAATTGCACATTTCAAAATCAATATCTCCTGGCAATGTATTATGGACTATGGCATGCCATAATGAAGTCTTAAAAAGCAATGCTTTGTTTCAGAATTGCATCGTTCATATTCATCGTGCCATATTGATGTTTATTCCATGAAATATCTTCCAAAAACTGCTTATGCTGTGAACTAGTTTATGGAACATTACATGTACTTTACAGAGGCATAGGTCTAACCAAATAAATTATTATAGGATATTTAGTAAAACATCGTTTGATAGGTCTATCAACCCTGAAATGAATGTTTGTCACCATTTACAAAGGATAATACTATCCCTTGTAACCATGAAGAAGTAAGCAGGCAGCTCCAAAATGAAAATAATGTATATATTGAATGCCACAATTTAGTTAACCTTTAGTGTATCTGCAAACCATCTTGAACATGTGACCTTATCTGTGCATTTTGATTGGATGAAGAATGTATAATTAGATAAACTAAGTGTACTCCAGATTTTTATTTCAGAATATGCAGATACACCAAAAGTGCACTGAAAATCTCAGTAAGGGGGGTAGATACACTAAAATGAACCTTACCATTGCATTCCTCATGGTCTCCACATTCAGAATCGGTGCTTAACTCAAAACTTAAAATTTTTCAGATACACCAAGTGTGTTCTGAGCTGACGTCATGTTAAAAGCATTGTTGAAGAGTCTCCCCAAAAACAGATGTACCATTTCTAGCTAGTATTTCAGTAAATGTACATGAGATCGGGACATAGTATGTGTATGTGTATGCTTCGCTCACTCGTGTTGATATTTGCTATCAACTCGGCGATAAAAATGATATCACTCAAAATGATGTGATATTCTGTATATATTATCTGCCTGCATGATCACATCTAGGATGCATATCAAATATATGTTCATAGATAAATCGAAAAGCATAGCCTTTCGCCACAACCTCATGTTTGTCAAATATCAATTTTTTGAAAATAGTACTGTTGGTACTTGACTCACATGTTGTTATGTTATTACTTTTCTGGACAAAAAAGGGCTGGAATCGCCACCTAAAAATGTTGGCAGAATATCCAAAGACTAGGCACGTGTACTGTTTATACCAAGAAACAACCTTTGAAGAGTCACATTAGATCCATGAAATCGTTTGTCTCTAAAAATGTAGAAAGAACTTTACAGACAAGATTCTGGACGGACAATTTACCAAAAATGCCCCAATATTTATCAGTAAAAATCTTAGATCAATGCATTAAATAGTTTAGCTTGACACACTTGAAGACAAGACTTCATAGACAAGATTCTAGGATGAAAGATCTAAAAAATGGCCCACAATAAAAAAAATCAATATATCCTTTCGCCAATTTTTCTTTCCAAAATTATCTCAAAAAACTAATGTTAACAGTGACATGGATTCTTACAATGCAGACCATCTAGAATTATTTATAAAGTTACTCAATGCTAAAAAAAGTGAATATCCCTCGACAAAAAAGTGCCACTATTGTCTACAGACAGACAGATGGACAGACAGATGGACAGACAGATGGACAGACTGACGGATAGACTGACGGATAGACTGACGGATAGACATACACGTGGGTGATTGCAACACAAAATTGATCAAATTAGGAATCCATTGAGTTTGAAACACAATTGACCTCCCAAGGGGGCTTGTATTTTTTAAGAATGAAAGTGACAGAAAATGAATGAATAAAGATTCAATTCAATATTACATGCAGCGTTCTTCGGAATATCAGAATCAAATCAGAGCCTCTGTACTTGTAATAACCCATATTGATACATTTAAAAATGCTTTTTAGAACCCCAGAAGGAAACCAAAGCACCTGTAAATGTAACCCTCTGTACTTGTAATAACCCATATTGATACATTTAAAAATGCTTTTTGAGAACCCCAGAAAGAAACCAAAGACCCTGTAAATGTAACCCTCTGTACTTGTAATAACCCATATTGATACATTTAAAAATGCTTTTTGAGAACCCCAGAAAGAAACCAAAGACCCTGTAAATGTAACCCTCTGTACTTGTAATAACCCATATTGATACATTTAAAAAGGCTTTTTTAGAACCCAAGAAGGAAACCAAAGCACCTGTAAATGTAACCCATATTGATACATTTAAAAATGCTTTTTTAGAACCCCAGAAGGACACCAAAGCACCTGTAAATGTAACCCATATTGATACATTTAAAAATGCTTTTTTAGAACCCCAGAAGGAAACCAAAGCACCTGTAAATGTAACCCATATTGATACATTTAAAAATGCTTTTTCAGAACTCAAGAGAGAAACCAAAACCAAAGCCCTGTAAATGTTATCCGTATTTACACTTTAAGAAATGCTTTCGGAACTCCAAAAACAAACCATGTACATGTAACCCATATTTAGAAGTGCTCTTGAACCCCAGAAACGACGACGTTGTCGGAGTAATTATAGTTTCCACAGCATCTGAGATGTTTTTTACTTAAGATGCATAAATAGTTATTTTTTGGATTTACATGTAGTCGTACATTTTTAACCAGTTAAGATTTTAGTGTTACTTTTTGAGATAATAGACTTTCTAAAATACTGGATTCCTAGGATGTATGGTCCTAACCGGGCTATATTTTTCATAATGCTATGCATTGTAGCCCAGGCTATACAGTTTATAGTACTTAAGATGCGTTGACAGCAGAGAACAAATGGATAGGCCGGCCAGATTTTCGTCCTTGCTATTATGTCCATAGTAAATGTATAGATGTCGTATTAGTTGCACGATTCTATCCATTTTCAATTGAAAATATCTTTAACATATTGTCCACCTGCGTCCCTGGTTAGTAGTCTTGTATCATCATGAGTTACATTATTTTGGTAATTAGTATACCTTTGGCGCAAGACTATAATGCACCGAAAAACCGAACGACCGAAAACACGGTCAGTACTATCTGTCTTGAAGCATTAAGTAAATGTGAGTTGACGGTATCTAATTTTTCGATTTCCTGCATCGCCGTACACCATATAACTTGAGGCCAGGTGATAAGTTTATTTTTATGTTCAATAAAGACAATAAAGAATCGGAAGGAGATTGATTCAAGACTAATTTTCAATACGTCACACAAATCAGTGGATCCATGGATCAAATTAGTCAACTTGGAAGATCTGCAGCGGGGTGTTGAATTTCAGTTCATAGAAAGGATCCATTTTAAGACAGGTCGTTCCATCATCGTGCACGGGGAAGGAGACACCTGCCCAACGAATAGTGCCACTTTTTCCATATGCACTCGGGGTATAAACTAATTTATTACGCAAGTCACCTGCAATGTATAAACTAATTTATTACGCAAGTCACGTGAAATGTAAAACATTCTTTTGATAGCGTTTCTAATGTGGAATGACCATTCCTTGAAAGTGTTGCTTTCCAAAATTAGCACAAGATGCTTGGCTGGTATTGGACACACCTTGCCTAGCTATAAATGAATACTACTTACTGCTATTTTACGATTTTGTTCATGTGTATACGTATTTCATTATAAGCACTTTTGTACCACCTTTTGACTTGAGGACATTAATAAAATAAAATCGATACATTATGTTATAATGACTAGTGTATTTGTACAGATAAATTCAAATTATACCTAAAATTCCATTTGCCTCCGTGGACATGACATTCTCCAACAATCCAAAGTTCAGAAAAGTATGGCCTGGCGATGCGCCCTTTCTTATGATATTAACTGTAGTATTCCCATCATCCAGAAACACATTCGCCCTCTTTTTGTCGGTTGTCATCCACATACCAGGTAACGCTATCTTTCCCATTGCCCATCTTATCTTCTCTATTGGCTTTCCCTCCACAGCAATCGTAATGGTGTCGAGATCAAATGTCATAAAAACTGGTCCTTTCTTTATGTTTACTAAACTGATGTATTCAACTAATTTGCTGTCAGCGTTTGTGACGTTACTGTCCATGAACCGAGCAGTTATCTCTGAAAAAATATAAGTGTTTATGGTCATCCTATCCGACAAACGAACATAGGCCTAAATGGTAATAAATACCATTTTAAACAATTTATAATAATTTATTATTTAATTATCTTTATATGAATATTCAAATGGTGATGAATCTACACAGAAATTAAATGTTTTGTGTATTTATAAGTACATGTTTTAATAGAATGCTATGTTTTGGTGAGACGAACAACGTTAGATTTATTTTAAGTAAAACATAGCCGTAGGTGAATGCAACCTAGCTTAGTCTAGTTACAGCTTGAGGGTCCCGTGTTCAGTTTGAAAATATGTTTTTATGATTCTTTACTATTTTCCATGACTTACTTAGAGATTTTTGAAAATATTTTTGAGGGAAAAAGTTGTCGGCTTTTTATTTCGAAAATAATTAACTTCCCGCCATTTTTCAAAAATATATTCGACATTTTACAATCATCAAATGTTCCAATATACAGTGCAAAACATATTAAAGGATCATATCCTCACTGGTGGTCCACTCGATTACGCTGGTGAAACGCGTGAGAAGGAGAAAAAGAGAAAAATCGTACCTTCAAGGTTCCGATATTTTTGTGACCGAAACGAACCGATAACCAGCGTAAGGAGTGGATCACCAGTGATTGTTAAACGGAGACTAACCACTTACCGAAATCATTATCTTTTAAAAAAAGGTACGTCTTGCCAGGTTTCCCTGCGAAATCATAACAGAGTGGTCTTTCTGAGTTCTTTATGGTCTGTCTTATATGAGGATCACCACACACTCTAATTCCAGCGCTATTAAGTTGGACGCGGCACGTTTTCTTGAAGGGTTCTCTTGAACAGTCGGCATCACTGGCGCATGAACCCGCTGCAGGTAAACATTATATTGGACTTACAATGTGTATGCTGACTACAATAGATGGCAGGGTAGAGTGGGTTGTTTGGATTTCCTATCATTTTGGATTATCCTATCATTTTGGATTATCCTATCATTGGATAACATGAAACCACAGTCTCTTTGTCCTACACTGTGGTTTATTCAACCCTAAATCAATGGTAGTGTTAGATAAACTACAGTAATGTTGGTTAAACCAGTTATAAGGAACTATATTTTTACAATCAAGTGAAAGAGTATTTCAACTACGAGGGGTGATCAATAAGTAATGGAAGCTTTTTACACAGATGCTATATCGACCAATCGCTTTGATGTTTTTGCCAGTGATACATCATTTCATTATCTTCCAACGGTGAAGATTTGAAGACAAAACACTTTATATATTTTGACATTCTGTAAAAAGTGATTTAAAATAATTCAAATAGTTTTTGATAGCTTGCCAAGTACCCATTCTTTAAAAACAATAAAAAAAATTATTTTGATAAAATCATACATTATTTAAAACATACTACAGCTGATTCTATGTTGTTGCTACCTAACTGGGGTTTAATGCAGCATAACTTGCTAGAAAAAGAAATCCATTTGTTTCATTGTATTCTGAATAATATGAAAAATGGAACTTTACATACTAATGTAAGTTAAGAGTTGTAGGAGAGGGCTTCTTACGTATTAATCCTTTACAGATCCAATTCCTTTTCCAGCTGCATACCAAATCATTCCAAGTGCCAGTGTCGTATAGCATTTCTACGCAGTCTTGCGAGTCATCATCATCGTTAGGCTCATCGTCGGCCCAGTTAATGTATGATGAAGTTGAACCATCCTTCCAAGTTTGATCCAGGCCTATTGTCTCAAGCCCAATCCAAAAACCGCCTCCATTATGCGTACTTGAATATGACAATATTAAGGCAAATAGTAATCAAGAAATATATTCTCGTGAAATATTGGCATTACATGAGTGGTTAGTTTAGACGTCAAATACATATTTTAAGCCCGAAGGTGTGTGAGCGAAATCTATTGGACCTCATAAATTGATTGACTCTGGTTTGCACCTTTAAACTATTTATGCCTTTTGAAAAGAAAATCCCAACTCACCCTGGTATGTTTGCAAATACGAATGTCTGCTCATCTTGGCTCAAAATACTGACTAAATCAGAATTCTTTTGCCCACAGTTGTCACGGGCTTCTGTCCAAGTCTTCCTCTCTTCTGTGTTGGGAGTATTGAACTGAAAAAGAAAGTGTAAAGTACACGTTAATCACAATGTACTGATAATTATACAACCTTATATTTTCAGTTATTTCAAAGCGCCGGAGACATTACAATTTGATTAAGTTAATTGCTAAATCTTTTTGACTTAAGGGGTTTTACCTCATAGCAATAAGTTCCATATTCCAGCCAGCCGTTTGGACAAGTTCCTTAAAAGATATTAAGAAAAATTGAAAATTGGATCTGACATGGCTACCTAATAGCAATGCCGCTTTTTCTATATCGAAATTATAAAAGTGTATAAAATAATACAGTTCTCATGTTGACTAGAGCATAACTACAGTATCAAGTAAAAGTTTTTAATAGGGAGAAATATGGTTTTTTAAAGAAAATCGGGGTAAAAATCGTTTTTTTCTGGAAAATCGGGAGGAATCGGGATTTCTATAAGAAGATCAGGATTTCTATAAAAGAAATCGAGAGGGAATTGGAATTTCTAAAAAGAATTAAAATCTTGAGAAAAATCTAAATAACAAAACTAAATCAATAGAGGGTAGGACCAAAATTTGATAGGACCACCTACCCTTTTACACCGGTGATCGGAAAAATGAGAGGGAGGGCGGGGGTACGTGATTTCTGCAAGAAAATTCAACAAATCTGGAAGATTTGTTTTTTCAAGAGATAGTTAACTATTGAATTACTGAATTGATGATTGCACGGTATGGTAAAATATGTTAGGTGTTCTAGAATTTTTTGGAACCGATACGTTCATATATATTGAGATCTATTAAAAAAAGTGTAAGGTCACCAATGTGAACAAATCAATGTTAGTGCCATAAATCAAGGAAGGATAGCCTACACGACCTGTAATAAATACTTGTAAGTGAAGTTATCATAATAAAATTCATGCCGTTGCTGACTATATAAAGTAAGTTTCCATATGTTACATGAACAAAATTCTAAAATAAATAGAATGAGACGGAGAGGAGAGGGGACCGAGGGGGTAGGGTAATATGTACGTATTCCTTCGTGCGGCTGCCGTAGGAAATGACTGCAAAAATATCCGACCACACAGAAATTCTACGGCAAGCGTAGAAATTACCAATATTGATTGTCCCATTTGGTTGAAAAGAAGAATATATCATGAATTATACTGTACAATTGTGAATTATCGCAATCCAATCGCATTGGATTCAACGGATTCTAATAGAGCCGTGCGAATGCAATATGTTAAGAACTTCTTTTATATATTTGCCGAATAATCTTTCGGCCTTTTAGGTTATGAATTTGTCAATATTTTGAATTTCGACAATTTAATGACGTAGTCGGATCCGATATTCATCAGCTTCGGGATTTAGGAGGCTATTTCCTAATTTGAATTGAATTGAATCACGTATAGTATGGATTAAAAAAAGAATTATGCCAAGACAGTGTCAAAAGAAATACTCATAAAGAAATGCTCATAATCAAAATTCAGATATGGCATGGTTTCTAATCTTCAATACTTGATTATTCTTATAATAAAGATTTCATCACGGTAATAATGGTTAAAGTATTAGAGTCCACTTACCTAACACCTTCAATGGTGTAATAATAGCGAACACGAGAATAATGATTGAGACATCCATCTCTACCGTAGATCTTCTGAGTGAATGAGACGTTTGAAACGTCCGATCATTTGACGCTTAGCTGATGTACATGTGACGCTTTATACTCATTGATTGCGAGATAAAACTAGTGAACAAAACCACGATAATTACATAGAACTTCTGTTGCATATCACTGTCACTGTCACTGTCAAGTATGATAAGTCACATGCAACATCCGCTTTCGGTTAAATATTCTATTGTTTGCAACGTTTGGAGAAGCTGCATACTTGAAAGTGTAAAACAATGCGCAACCTTTTGGGGGTCATAGCCCCTATAACCTGTATATATGTTACATTGATTTTAATAAAAAAAGTAATAAAAAAATAAATAACGATTTAATGATCAGCTGTTCATGATTAAATTTTCACACATAGCTACTCGTACATGTACAGTATGTAAGGTCACGGTCAGTCAATCCGAACACGCTCTCTTATTGCATTGCATTATCATTTAACCCTACCACGTAACCACGTGAAAAGGGGATTCAGGCGACAGTGTAGTTGCAAATGGAGGACGTGAGTTTATTTCCATATTTCTGAAGGTAAACTAGATTTTAAGTCTTTCAAGTGTTCCATAGTAAAGATTCATCGAGCAGTTTGCAGACGTGTATTATTATCAGAAACCCCACATAGACAAAGATAGAGAATACTCAGGGAGTCTCCAACATACTCATCAGGTAGTGGGGAGCTTCCTAGATGGCAATGAGCGGCAAGAGTTAAGAGAAATCTCAAAGAGCCAATAAGAGCCTCAAAGAGCAGCAGGGAACCTGAAACAGACTCATCAAGTAGTGAGGAGCTTTCCCAAACAATAGCAAGAGGGAACCTACAACAGACTCATCGGATAATGAGGAGATTCCGACACGGTAAAGAGCCGTAAGAAGCCCACTTAAACCTCAAAGAGGTAAGGGGATCTACAGATAGTTCCAGGAGGACTTCAATAAGTCGCCAAGCAATGAAGAGACCCCCCAAACAGTAACGGGAAACTGGGAGTATAGAAGAACGCTTGAAAGATATTAGGAGCCTAGGAGAGCGCTAAAGAGCCACGAGGAGCAATTTAATGTAGAGCGCAAATAGCCAAAAGGAGCGTAGTAAAGCGCCAAGAGAAACAATTAGCATAATAGAGTATTACGGAGCATTGAAGAGGTAGCACGGTGTTATAGCATGACGGTTACGCCACCTCTGAAAACGAGGTTGGACGGCTACGTTCACTGATTTATCCAATGAAATGGCCGCGATGGAAGAGAAAACTAAGGTTGGTGCATGATTTTCTTCTACTGTGTATCAATGAAAGGATGAACGATTTATGTAAGTGTCGCATTCGGTGAGGCATTTAGTAATGTATATTTTGAACCCAGTCTTTGCAAATTGATGCCCGGGGATGACATGAAATAAGAGAAAAACTGTCGAGTTTGAAATTCAAAACTACACAAAATTTAGTAATTTGTTTATTTTTTTTGTTAGGGCATGGTCTATATTGCTTAAAAACCTTGGGGTATATAGATGTAACCTACATACGATCACACAAAGCCAATTGAGCATTGGAAACCACCTATTATGTTCTACTCAAGCTATAATAATGTATTTTGAATTTGCGGTAACGTGAAAAGTTGATGGACGGTTACACGAACCTGATTCAAATATGAAACCCGGATTCATTGTCATTAATTTTGCTATCTTCATCAGTACTTGATCCTTAATCTTCTTTTGCCTCTTCATTGCTATCTTTTACACTTTCATTGGTTTCATAAATAAAGCAAACGACAGTTTTTTCCTTGCCCTATAGAGGCTGATACAAGAGCGTCTCTTGCGAGTCCTGAAAACAAATATAGGAAATTCAATATTCTATTTCTTACCCATTATAACAATAACATGGAAATAGGCTATCAGATCTAGCAACCTTGACTTGACAAATTCAGAGGCACGTAACCGTCCGCTAAATATCTAATGTACAACTAATACAATACACGTTACCGTCCATAGAATTCTATAGAAGTCATACGTAGTCGTCTAACGACATTGCGTTTGAAACCTTATTATTTACGATATTCACCACGTTCCTGTTCTGGATTTGTCATTTTATGCCTTGCTTATACACAGTTTACTTACAGTTAATATTTTGAATGGCTCTGAGGCACATGTATTGAGAAAACACGAGAATGGACCAAAAATTATGAACTTGGATATCTCAGTCGGTAGGTTTACAGCTTATATTCTGTTTCTTGTAGACCACCTGGCAGATTTGACCCAGTCTTTATAACCATCCATATATACGTCACCGAATGGAACTAGTTTAAGAATGAAATCTTATCTGTGAATATTGCCTACAGACGAGAAAGAAGACATGCTGCCTTTCCCATCCGCCATTTTTTGTTATCGTTACCGCAAATTTTTGCAAATCGCCTTGACGTAACCGTCATGCTATAACACCGTGGGTATGGGGAGCACGTAAGAACTGCACAGATCCACAAGGGGTCAAGAGGGTCAAGGAGGAGCGCTATAACACGGTGTCCAACCCAAACGCTCTTACATGCACGACGGAGCGTTTCATTACTGAAGCTAATCAAAGAAACGCTCCGGAGTAGGAAAAATGGCGGGCAGGAATGATGGGTCGTCTGACGATTTCCCAAATGATGGGAGTAAGAGGGGTATCTGGTCAACTCGGACCCTAGTTAACTCGGACCCTAGTCAACTTGGACCCTAGTTAACTCGGACCCTAGTCAACTCGGACCCTAGTTAACTTGGACCCAGTTATATTTAATATAAATCAGAGGTATTTTGCTATGTTAGAGGTGAAAGCAATTAACTTTCAAAATATTAAGAATATTGGAATAGTTTAAGATATAATTCAATTCATTACTGAAATCTTTAAATAATGATGTTTATGTATATTTCTGATGAGTCAAAATCAGTCTTTACAACCTTTATACTTCTATGCTATTTGCGTCATGTGGGATCAAATAACTCTTTATAATTAAATGAGAATGATTTTGAATGATTTTGATTCATTTTATATTGACTTTATATAGAATTGGAACTATACTATGTCTTTAAAAAATGAATTCAATTTAGCCTGTTGTGTATAATGCTGTTATAATAACTTTGACTAAGAAACCTAATTAACAAATCTTGTATCCTCTGATAAGCATTTAATTAGGGTGTTGAAGTAAACAAAATATAGAGGTATTACATTAATTCCAATATACAGTATAGGGAAATGTGTTAGCGCATTTGTGTTTTAAACAATTTTATTTCCAATTTCATTTTCTAAACATGTGTGTAAAATTACTTTCTGTTTGTCGAAAATCCATGATTATTTCATATTTCAAAGCTTCAAATGTGGAAATACAATGATTAAATAATTTGGTGACCTTAGTAAAATATTCAATGAGTAGGGAATTTGAAATATATTTTGATTTAATAAATCAAAGAATTGCAAATACAAGTTACAAAATTATCAAATATGGTGTTATCGTTTGATTTGAAACTTTATCTTTTACTTTCATTATAAGAAATTCCTTAAAAATCATGGGCTTTCAATTGTTTACAAACATGTTTACCCCTTTTAACTTGGTTTGAAGAATTGAGGTCAACAACATTTAATTCACCTTTGAATTTCTAATTTATTGTTACATACTATTTGTTTGGAGGACAAATTAACTGGTTTCATGTAAAATCAAAATCTTGGTTATTTAATATTTATTCCTACCAGTATATGATTTCACAATCAGGCTGAATGGTTTATGATTGACTCAAAAGTGTCAGAATTATTTTTCACCATTATCAACCATTGTTCTATCTAACAATTATATATGATTAATGTTGTTTTTATATATACCTTATCATTTTAATGCTCAACTGAGGAAAAATATAAAAAATACATAGGTCCAAGTTGACTAGGGTCCGAGTTGACTAGGGTCCGAGTTAAATACGGTCCAAGTTGACTAGGGTCCGAGTTAACTAGGGTCCGAGTTGACTAGGAACCGTAAGAGGTATGTGTTAACTTAGTTCGAGTATACCATTCGATGGGTGTGATATTCATGTTGTACGTGGCTGGATGTTGACGTTTGAAGCAACTTGGAAGTGCTCATATGAAGCAGTATAGTTATCAAAAGTCATAAACGAATTTGTCAGTCTACCGGTCAAAACCACTTTTGTCGAGACATGTGATTAGTTGTGTAAAGATAGAGCATCAGAGTATATTTTGGTCAATTTACAAAGCTTCAGCGCACCATACATTATCGTAATTGTGATTTGATGACCGAAAATCCAGTCTTAAAAATGATAACAATCTCATATTAAAGAAACGCTCCGGCCTGGTAAATACAGTGAACTGGAAACGCTCCGGTACTAGTCTAGATATGTTTAGGCATTAAGGAATTAGCTTGACTTTCCTTTTCAGGAAGGGAAAGAAAAGTTCTATTATATCCCTTGGCATCAAAAGAAGAAAGATTACTTCACATAAACGTTTTGTTTCTTTGTCAATATAGTTTTAGCACACATGTAGGCATAGTATATGATATAGGCTTCACTGGTCCGCTAGTTGCATGTGTAGCACCACCAGGTTGGGAAGTTTCAATTTGCCTATGTAGTACAAATAGTACAAAACGTCTTTTAGAGATAGATTCGATTACGAACTCGTCACTAATGATCTGAAAATAATATAAAAACAAAATGGTAAGAGCGTTTCTAGAATTGTGTCCAAAATCGACGGAGCGTTTCGAGGAAAACAAGTGATTTTTCGAGAACAAGTAATGGATTTGGACTGGAATTTTAGCAAATGAGAATTCACGAGTTTGTGATTACTTTGACAGAAAGATTGATATTTTCATTTAAATACTTCCTTTAATTCGTAATTTGTGGTCAATTCGTCAACTTCAGATTCGTTCCATCTACACTACGGAACTTTGATCAAGCAAATAACAGTTTACCACCGGAAGCTGAATAAATAAGATCTTTGCTCGGGGTATTGTTCATCGAATGGTACATAATATGTCACCATAACGTATGATATTTAGGAGAAACGAGTGAAACAATACTTACGGTCAAAGTGGGATCTTCAAAGCCGCCATTTTATTTTGCTGCGCAGCGTTTCCACGTGAATGAAACGCTCCGTCATGCATGTAAGAGCGTTTGGGTTAGACACAGTGTATAAGATCCTGTTCATCCAAGACAGGGGGAAAAACACAGAAGAGCTGCAAACAGAGAACTCTCGAGAGGAATCAAAAACAGTATGGCCGCTACCAACAAACAAGGTTGAAGTAACTTTTTAATTTATGGACACAGGGTTCTGTTATTTTCTTGTTGTATGAATTTTCAGAAATTTTCTAAAAATCCCCAAAGTAATTATACTTTATTTGTGGAAAACTAAAGATGTTTACAATAACATAAATATCAGAAGTTTATTCATGATGTACAGGGTGTCAAAAAACAACGGCACCCCCTTCTACAGCAAAAAGTACTAAATGTTACATGGTGTGTCATATCTCATTTAAAAGACAATTTAATTCTGGAGTTACCTGAGAAATTTCAGCTTTATATCATATAATTTTACAGATTTACAGCTGATTCTTAGTAGTTGGTATGCCCACCAGTTGCTGCTCAAACAGCAGCTTATCTGGATGGATATGATTTCAATAAAAATTCACATAAAGGTCTAGCATTGCATAATCCAGGGGCGGATCCAGGAACCAACAAGGGGGGGGTCCAAATTTGAGGTCAGAGAAAAAAACGTCCGCGCTTGCGCGGAAAAAAATTTTGGGCCCCTAAAATCCAAAAGTGGGCCCAAATTTTGAAATTTTGAGGCCCATTTTCTTCAAAAATTGGCCTGAAATTAAAGAATAAGGCCTTAAAAGGCCCAGTAATGACCATAAAGGCCCACGTTTTGGGGCCTGAATGCCTTGTTTGGCCCAAAAATCTTTTTGGGCCCAATTTTTTTTTTCTGGGCCCACCCAAGGGGGGGGGGCCCGGGCCCCCAGGCCCCCCCCCCCCCTAATCCGCCAGTGTAATCCTCTTCGCACTTTCCTCACATTCTTCAGAAATACATCCATACTGTGTCTTTTTTCAAGAGGCTCTTTGTCCATCAGTTCCTATACCCTGTTTTTAAGAAATGAACCCATATGTTCAGTGCAGTTGAAATCTGAGGTAATTCTTTCATATTTCACTTTCTGAAGATTTGACTTTTAACCAGTAACAGGGCAGCAAAGAAGGTACCGAAGTAGCAAACTTTGAAACAATGTAGCTTTTTTAATATTAAGTTTTATTAAATGAAATTTGATGAGTAACTCCAGAATTAAATTATCTTTCAAATGAGGTATGACACGATATGGAACATTAAGGACGTTTTGCTGTAGAGGGGGGTGCCGTTGTTTTTTGACACCCTGTATATGTATACAGTACTAAAATCACTTTTAAACCGAAAGTGCGTCATAGACCTTTCGATGCCAATGTCCATTAGAAATTCACAAAGGAATTAACTGACTGCTGTATCGAAAGCAAAAAAAACTTTTAAAATCCACGTTTCTTTGCAATATTGGCTATTTAAAATTCACAAAATATGGACTCATGTAAGAATTTTTCATGAACTTGGATCATGAAAATATAAGCAATATTGAGATATCAATGTAAAGTGATTGTATAACTACGGGTAGTGTTTAGGCCCATGCTTTAGTTTTTTTTTTAACTAAAACGTTAGATCGATAATTGTATAATTTCATGTTTCACTTATCAGATTGAAAATTGTGTGGAATGGTTTAATGTCGCATGTCAAACATGCTTTTGACATATGATTGACGCATTCCATTGTTGATGTTTAATTGGTAAATTGATATATGATTGACAGATTCCATTGTTGATGTTTAATTGGTAAATTGATAAAATGTGGTTGATCGCTCCGATAAATACAAAAATTTAGTAATTTCTTTTGATCTTTTAAAATTGAATTTCCAATACACCAGCATTTTAAAAGTTCCGTGTTTTTACTCTTTTTTCTATCTTTATTAAAAAGGTCACATATTAAAACTGTGTGTCTCATCCTTACACCCCAGTCACATTTCCTACGGCGACCTTGCGGTCTATCATTTCTGCGGCCAGTAGCTTTTCTACGCTCGCCGCAGAATTTCTGCGCTCTCATACTTTTGCAGTCACATTTCCCACGGCAGCCGCACGGTGAATTTTGAATTTCTGTTGATAAATAAAACTTTTTTTCATTTTATTTACATCAGGACAATTTATAAATGTTATTCATAGTGCTAGGATGTAATATCAAATGAAAAGTGATCGTGAAACATTGACAAATAATGATTCAATCTTGTTGAGCCAGTTGATTTCTACGGGGACCTCATAAATGAACAAATATTATTACTCCGAGTTATAATTTCCACGGCAACCCTGCGGCCTCTAAAAAACTGGATGCGCCGCACGGAGGCCGCAAGGCGAGCGTAGTTTTCCTACGCTCGCCGCAGAAATACACTGATTTACACCCCAGTCACATTTGTCGCACGGCGGCCGCAAGTCGACCGCAGAACAATTAAATCGTTGAATTTCTGCGGCGAGCGTAGAAAAACTACGCTCGCCTTGCGGCCTCCGTAAGGCGTATGCAGATTTTTACAGGCCGCAGGGAAGGCGTAGAAATTATAACTCGGAGTTATAATATTTGTTCATTTCTGAGGTCCCCGTAGAAATCAACTGGCTCAACAAGATTGAATCATTATTTGTCAATGTTTAACGATCACCTTTCATTTGATATTACATCCTAGCACTTTGAATAACATTTATAAATTGTCCTGATGTAAATAAAATGAAAAAAACTATTATTTATCAATATAAATTTAAAATTCACCGTGCGGCTGCCGTGGGAAATGTGACTGCAAAAGTATGAGAGCGCAGAAATTCTGCGGCGAGCGTAGAAAAGCTACTGGCCGCAGAAATGATAAACCGCAAGGTCGCCGTAGGAAATGTGACTGGGGTGTTAATTGATCTGCGGTCGACGCCAGTTGATTTCTACGGGGACCTCAGAAATGAACAAATATTATAACTCCGAGTTATAATTTCTACGCCTTCCCTGCGGCCTGTAAAAATCTACATACGCCGTACGGAGGCCGCAAGGCGAGCGTAGTTTTTCTACGCTCGCCGCAGAAATTCACCGATTTAATTGATCTGCGGTCGACTTGCGGCCGCCGTGCGACAAATGTGGCTGGGGTGTTAAAGCAGATATGAAATGGTATTTTTAACCTAAAGGAATCAATATAATTTTTTGATAGATGTATTTGGACATGTTTTCTCATCAGTAGTGTGAAAACTATTTCACTCTAACGATCGTTATAGCTGCTTAATAAGCAATATTCGAATTGGTTATGACGTTATTGGCCCCCACGTGATCTCTCACTGGTCCCCACGTGGCCCGTTTTGGTCCATTAGATCATGACGTCATAATGCCAAAATGTTTTGTTATTTGTTTACACAACAATCCTATGGTTGCCGTGACGTTGTGATTACTATGGAACCAATAAACCAAAGCTATATTTTGTATATGACGTTACTAATCACGTGGGGGCCAATTTGATTTATCAGTTAATTTTATTTCGTTATCTATGACCGTTAGCAGTTATCTAACATTTATTTTATAATGGCTATTGCAAGAACTCTACGGTGGGCTTACAATGGAGAAAACCGCATTTTCGTAGCTGCAAGTTGAGAAAAGCTATTTCAGTTGTCCTTTAAGGATAAATTCTCCTTTCCAAACTATACATGACGTAAGAAGGATGATTTTTCCTTTAAAAGTTAAAATCATTTAAGTACTTATTTACACGTCACTTATTGTCATTTTCAATTCTGACGCTTTAAGTCATTGTTATGATATTCACTTGTCACTTGATTGTTTTATTTTAGTCATTCATAGCCTTGGTAATGCATCTGCATTCTTATTTGCACTTCCGGGTCTGTGTATTATTTTGAATCTATATTGTTGCAATCCTAGTGCCCATCTCATAAGTCTAGGATTTGTATTCTTCATGGTCTTTAGCCATACAAGTGGGTTGTGGTCTGTCATTACAACAAACTCTCTGCCTAGTAACACCCCAGTCACATTTCCTACGGCGACCTTGCGGTCTATGATTTCTGCGCTCTCATACTTTTGCAGTCACATTTTCCACGGCAGCCGCACGGTGAATTTTAAATTTCTGTTGATAAATAATACTTTTTTCATTTTATTTACATCAGGACAATTTATAAATGTTATTCATAGTGCCACGATGTAATATCAAATGAAAAGTGATCGTGAAACATTGACAAATAATGATTCCATCTTGTTGAGCCAGTTGACTTCTACGGCGACCTCAGAAATGAACAAAAATTATAACTCCGAGTTATAATTTCTACGCCCTCCCTGCGGCCTGTAAAAATCTGCATACGCCGTACGGAGGCCGCAAGGCGAGCGTAGTTTTTCTACGCTCGCCGCAGAAATTCACCGATTTAATTGATCTGCGGTCGACTTGCGGCCGCCGTGCGACAAATGTGACTGGGGTGTAAGTAGTAGTTCAACTGCTCTATTGCCTATTTCATGGCTAGACACTCCTTTTCTTTCACTGAGTAGTTCATCTCTCTGGGCATCATTTTTGGCTCACACAGTGAGCCTTTGGGATCGACCAGGCGTCCGTCTGTCCGTTGGTCCGTCCGGGCAATAACTCAAATACCGTTAGCCCGATTTTGATCATATTTTGTACACATATACCCAATGGGAATGGTTGTGAAAGAGTGAAATAGTAAAGTCATGCTAAATTTTGCTCCTAGATAAATTGGATATTCTAAGGAAATTACATGAACAATTTGGAACATATATATACGAGAAGATTCATGAATATATCAGGATAGTAAAAAAGTTATTGATTAAGAAAAAACTTAATCATTAAAACAGTTATTTGAAGACTAAATATTTTGATAAAACACTGAAAGTTTACACATAAAGGAATATTATAGCATGGCAGGTCAATAACTAGGCCGATAACAAGCTTGATTACAAAAAGTGTGAACTCTAATAGGGATTAACATTCCAGTCATTCAATTATACAATTGCAAAGTGAACTTGAAATTTGTTAATGGTGAGGCTCCCAAGGGGTAGTCCTGGAAAATGATATCAAGATCTTTGACTGTTTGGTGCAGCCATAGAGACACTAACTGGGCTAAGGAAGATGCAATACTTGATGCAATGCAAGATGTGGTCGAGGAGATTGATATAGAGGCAATACAGATAGCAAACAGGAACGTTGTAATTACACTCGCAAATAGACCTGCAAAGATTGCCGCTATCACCATGGGACTCAACATGAACAACAAGTTTATCGCATTGAGAGATATTGAAAAAAGCACAGTTAACATCACATTAAGAGATATACCTATAGAAGTACCAAATACTGCAATACATGCGTACATATCAGGATTTGCAGATAATGTCGAGGACATACAACATGGGTACATAACCAGACATGATGGGACGAAATCAACAATCAAATCTGGGATACGTTATATAAGCGTCAGCAAGATAGTGCGACCTATACCAAACAATCCTGTGATCGTAGGATTTCCTGGTCGTTGTACATATAGAGGCCAACCATGTAGCTTCTGTGAAAGCACTGATCATCCTTGGTACAGGTGTAGCGAAAGACCACCCAAACAAATCAGAAAGTGCTTTATCTGTCAATCCGAAAATCATATATCACGTGATTGCACTGTGACGCAATCAGAAAGATTGGAAAGAGAAACAAATAAAGAGTCTCCTGATCACATAAGATTTGATGAAGTGAGCATCATCCAGGAAAATAACAACGCAACTGAGAACCAACCTACAGAAACACTCACAGCAGAATCAGATAGCGTACAGCCTACGATGGCTGTCGTTGGTGCATCACTAGCAAAAGCAATGGTTTTCAAAGAAAAGGTAGAGAAACGGGCTGTTAGTGGGACAAAAATCGATGGAGTTAAGGACATTCTAAAAGATGATCCAATCACCAGTGACAACATTGTTATACAGATAGGGACAAACGACATAGTATATAGCTATGAGACACCTGAGACTTCGGTGAGAAGATATGATACCTTAGTGAAAGACATAAAGGATGAAAACCCAAACAGCAAAATTTTTGTGTGCAGCTTACCACCAGTCCATCCATACAAGAATGATAACATGAACAGAAGTATCTCGAAAATGAACATGCTATTATCAAAGATGTGTAATCAACATGATGATGTCTACTATGTGGATCACACACCTGTACTACTCTGTCACAATGGTAAAACAACACATAGGGACTATAATTCAAGTGATCCAAAAGGTGTTCACTTATCAGCAGCTGGCTATACTAAGCTGGTGAAAAACATAACATCAGACGTGAAGAAAATAAATGGAGAACTAACTTTTAAAACACCAGTAAACAAACGAAAGGAGAGAGCAACTAGCTCTACACCAAGTTCCTCAGAAAAACAGCCAAAAACTGGGAAGTACTCTTAATGGATTTTACATGCATGTGCTATATATTAGTACATAACAAATGTGTGACATTGTAGAAAAATCAAAAATTGAAAATTTGCTCAGAATTAGTCTTTTTTCATAAATGATTGGAAGTATTTTAATATATGGAAACATGCCAGAAAATGCATGTAGCAATACCCATATGAAATAGCATGCATAATATGTATATAAGAATTGTATATGGGATGATGTATAAGTTAGTGTATAATAGTTATATAAGAGATACTGAAATCAATGATAAGGTAAACATAAACATGCAAAATGTATATATGTTTGTATGTATATGTAGGGATGTGTGTTCTTATATGTATGTATGTATATAGGCATGTGATAGTAGATATATGTATAAATAAGTTGTTTGGTGATAAATGTATACCATAAAATTAGAAAAACATGATCCTTAAATACCGTATACAAACACTTAATGTCAGGGGTTTGAATGACAAAATGAAACGAAATAAGATCGCATTGTGGCTAACAAATCAAAAATCACAAATAATCTTCCTACAGGAAACATTTTGCACGAAGAATGGTGAAGCAAAAATTATTAGTTCTTTCAGTGATCACTATAATATGTACAATTGTACAACTGACTCTGTACATTCAAGAGGAGTTGCGATACTTATATCAAAAAAGATAATATCATCTGTTAAGAGTATTGTATGCTCAAAAGATGGAAGACAGTTGCTAATTAATGTTGAACTCGATGGTACGAAATTCACATTAATATGCGTTTATGCACCAAATAATGCAGGGCAGAGAATAGATTTTTTCAATAAAATGAATAAATGGATAAAGAGTAATAGAACTGATAACTCAAATTTAATCATTGGTGGTGACTTTAATGTTACTCTGACTAATCGGGACAGGTTTCCAGAAAATCAAAACAATGTTGATAACAGTAGAAATGCGCTTAAAGAATTAATTGATGATAATGAGTTAATGGATGTATGGAAAACCTTAAATAGAAATAAAGAGGGTTTCACTTTTCATGATAAAAGGAGTGGCTCAATGAGCCGAATTGACTATTTATTTATTTCTAAGACAAATGAAATAGAACTTACAAAGTCATACATTATGCAGGTACTTAAAGCAGATCACAAAAGTATTATACTAGATTTGAAAATATTAAAAAATAAAAGGGGGAGGGGCTATTGGAAATTCAATGGAAGTTTGATTCAAGATGAAAATTTTAATAAGGCACTTAAAGACTATATTAAATGGCTTAAGATAAGATATAAAGATATACCATCAAAACGAGTACTATGGGAATTAATGAAGGGTAAGGTTAAGGCTTTCACAATTTCATTTTCTGTTAATAAAGCAAAAAGCACAAAGAATGTTAAAGTAGAATTGCAGGAAAAGATAGATGGAATAAGTACGTATATAGACAAATGCACCAAAGAAAATATCAAACTTAAATTGAACGAGCAAAAGACAATATTAATAGATAGATTAGATAAAGAATATGAGAAAACTGTAAAAGGTATTTTCATTAGGTCAAAAGCTAAATGGATGGAAAAGGGTGAGAAAAGCTCTTCATACTTTTTAAATTTGGAGAAACAAAGGCAAACAAATAATGTTATTAAAAAGGTGAGGACGAGACATGGTTGTGTATACAATGACAATGAAATTTTGGAGGAAACTGCATGTTTCTACGAAAAATTATATAAAGCCGATGAGATAAATGAAAGTCAAATAGAAAATTATCTTGAAAACATAGATTCATTAAATACAATCAGCGAGGTTGATAAATTGAATATCGATAAGGAAATAACTCAAGATGAAATTAGAACTGTAGTAAAGAATCTTAAAAACAACAAAAGTCCAGCTGCAGACGGATTTACTCCGGAATTCTATAAAGCTTACTATGATTATATTGAAGATGTTTTTGTTGACATGATTAAGGAAGTTTTCATTAAAGGGGAACTTTGTGACTCAATGAAAGTAGCCATTTTAACCTTGATTTTTAAAAAGGGTGAGAGAGATCTACTGAAAAATTATAGACCAATAAGCTTAACTAACTACGACTATAAGATAATAGCATTTTTGATTGCTAGGAGGATAAAAGATGTAATTAAACTGTTAGTTAGCAATGATCAATCTGCATATATTGAGGGAAGAAATATCAGTCTAAATGCTCGACTTCTTATTGATTTAATTGATCTAACGAATTCCGAAGGGATAAATGGTGCACTAATTAGCTTAGACTTCCAGAAAGCTTTTGATAGTTTAAATTGGACTTTCATGTTCAAGGTTCTAAAAAAGATGAATTTTGGTGAAAATATTCTAAGATGGATTAAGATTCTATATAATGACCCTAAATTGCAAGTTAAAAACAATGGATATTTATCGAGAGTTGTATCTGTTAACAGAGGCATAAGACAAGGTTGTCCAGCATCTGCGCTAATATTTATTTTATGTACAGAAGTCTTGTCTTTAAAATTAAAAATGAATGTGGATGTAAAAGGGATAGAAATTAATAATGGTTCACTTAAGACAATTCAACATGCTGATGACACAACATTAATACTTGGTAATAAACAGTCAATTCCAAAAGCTATAGAAATCGTAAATAATTTTTCTGATGTTAGTGGTTTGAAGCTTAATATAGAAAAAACAGCTGGAATATGGTTGGGAGGTCTAAAAAACAATGAAAAAATATATCAAGATATTCATTTTTCAGAGAATCCAATCAAATGTTTAGGAATATATATTGGACATAACAAAAAAGAATGTGAAAAATTAAATTGGGAAACTAAAGTCAGGTATTTTGAAAACACGTTAGAACGTTGGAAAAAAAGAAATTTAACTATTTTTGGCAAAGTACAAGTCATCAACTCATTGGGTATCTCTCAATTAATATATAATATGACAGTGCTTACAATGCCTTTAGATATTAAAAAGAAAATTCAGACAGCAATTTTCAAATTTTTATGGAAAAGAGAAGCTGTTAAAAGGAAAACGGTAATTAATGACATTGAAAATGGGGGACTTAATCTAGTAGATATTGATACTAAGATAAAAGCTATATGCGGGTCTTGGATTAAAAGACTTTTGCATAATAAATCGTCTTGGAATCTCATTATTGAACATCATATTAACAACTTAGGATTTACTGTAAAACAATTCTTGAAGACCACTTTCACTAGTAAAATTGACATAAAATTGCCAGAATTTTACAAAGAAGCTTTCATTGCCTTTAATAAATGTAAACAAAACAATACAAAAGGTAAATATCGCATGGGAGAAGTCATATGGCTAAATGAAAATGTAAAAAGCAAAAATAGCACGTTATATTACAAAAGCTGGATTAAATCTGGGTTTATGTATGTCAAGGACTTCTTTGACAGGCAGGGTGATTTTAAAAAGGAAAAAGTTATTATTGAACAATTGAAGCATCGAGCTCAAAACTGGATGGTGGAATGGCTTACATTAAAAAAATGTTTGACTGTATTTACAAAAGGTTTAGATACCACTTATGGAAATTACGTTAATATAAAAGATAGTGAATATGTTCTCTTTAAAGATGGATTTAGGCATATAAATACAGTTAGTACGAAGATTGTATATAAACATATAATTGAAGAAAATGTAGAACGGTCAATTTCTGAGAATTACTGGTGCAGAAGTTTTAAGTTGGAGCATAGAAATAGTCTCTTTAAGCGAGTTTATGAAAGGAAGATAAATAATGTGTCTTATAAAATTCTTGCTCAATTTAACTTTAAACTTCTGCATAATACCATTGCTTGTGGCAAAATGGTTTCTAATTGGCATGTAGGTGTAAATAGGAATTGTATGAAATGTAGAGAGACGCAAGATATAAAACATTTGCTATTTGACTGTGAATTAATAAAACCAATATGGGAGAAAATTGAAAAAATACTAAAACTTAATATCAGATGGCAGGACATTGTACTGGGCAATATAAAAATCCATGAAAACAAGATCTCAATGTTCAGAGACTTATTATTGACTATTGTTGCCTACACTGTTTATTCAAACTGGATAGCTTTCTCGGAAAAGGCCGATCTCTTTATAAATCTGAACTTTAAGTCAAAAATAGCTTGCAACATTGTATTTTTCGCTAATGTATATGAACATTCAAATTGTAATCATGCTTCATTCTTCGCTAAGCATTTCATACTATTTTTAGATCAATTTGTTTTATAATTGAACTGTATTATTCATGTATTTGTACATATGTTAAAAGTTAAATTGAATAAAAAAAAAAAAAAAATAACAGTTCTGCTCGAAAACCGATTTTCAAAATGTCTCTTTTTAGTGCCGAAGAATAGAAGAAATACATGGCAGCCATCTTGTAAAATAAAATTTTGGGTAGTATGCGGCCATTTTGAAAAATAGCCGCCATTTCTATGTGCGTTGTTTAACATTTTTACTGTAACTCAAAAAGTAGTGGAGCGATTTTGTTCATATTTGGTATGTAAATACTTTAAGCATGGCACAATGTCTAATGACATTTTGAGTAGCAGGCGGCCATTTTGAAAAATGACTGCCATTTTTACATGTGCTATTTTACATTTTTTACTATAACGCAAAAAGTAGTAGAGCAATTTTGTTCATATTTTAAATGTGAATACTATAAGCATGGCACACTGTCTAATGACACTTTGAGTAGTAGGCGGCGATTTTGTTCATATTTGATATGTGAATACTTTAAGCATGCATGGCAAATTGTCTTATAAAACTTTGGGGAGTAGTCGGCCATTTTGAAAAATGGCCACTATTTTTATGTGTGTTATTTTACATTTTTTATTATAACTCAAAAAGTAATAGAACGATTTTGTTCATATTTGATATGTGAATACTCGTAAGGATTGCATACTGTCTCATGACATTTTGGGTAGTAGGCGGCCATTTTAAAAAATGGCCACCATCTACATGTACGTGTGTGCGATTTTTAAAAATTTTATATGTGACTATATTACTTCTTCTGATGACAACTTGGCTAGTGAGCAACCATTTTGAAAATGGTGGCCTTTCTTATGTGTGTTATTTTATGATATTTCATTTGTAAAAATGCCAGCCATTTCTGTTCGATGGGATTCGCTACGCTTTGGCGTTGCCGTTGTTCTGGTTTGAAATAGATATATATCATATACGTTTCTCTATATTGTTCCGAACCGGTCCGTCTTCTCGCTGCAACTGCAAGGAGATTGCCCCGAACCGGTCCGTCTTCTCGCTGCAAGCAGGATGAAATTCTTTGTCACAAAGTTTGGCATTTTTTATAAAATCAAACGCGCGTCATTGAAACTCACAAGATGTAAATAGCATGTCATTTACATCATACCTTGATGGGGAAAAAT